GTACAATTAGAAAAGCATTAACCTCAATATACCATAATTGTAGAGTTTTGGAAAGCTATTGGAAAGATAACAATCTTCACACATGGACAGAATTCCGATCGAGACGACAGGATGCGCTAAATTCAGGCTGCGAAATCGAACACTATTTTGCTACGTTGCGAGAAGTCTGACAGGTAAAGAGAAATTGTTCTAATCCAAGAACTTTATCCAATTTTGCAAGTATTTGTCTTGTTATTCAGGTGATTCCCTCTTAAGGCTTTTTTTTTTAATTCAAAATATTTTTATCTACTTTCTGCGATAATGCAATCATTTCAGAACAAAGTGTTTGCCTTAGATGACACTTCGAAGTAAGTCAACAACAGAATGGTTTTTATATATTGTTATGGCTAGTTTCGCATCAGATTTGAATCGCAGGGAAACAAAATGAAACTAAAAGCCTTTAAATTTAGACTGTTACCACTTGAAAGTAGATTACTCGTCAGGTAGAGGCAAATTAAACTGAAAACATGTTAACTCCTCGACGATATCTTACACTGACATCGAATAATGTCCTCTCTTTGGTAATGTAATCATCAGCACAAGGAAATTGGACAAATAACCTTTTTTCTAAAAAGATTATAATGGTTAAAGCTGTGGCAAGGTCTGGAAAGTAATTTGTTTATTTAGCTTGCCGGTTTACGGATTATTTTCATCTCAGCAAAACCACTTAAGGCGATAATCAGTATGCGATGCTAGACAATGGCTGTCGGGGAAGCTCAAAATTTGTGTTGTCTAAATCCCACTTATGGGGGGAAAAGTGCGTCCTTGACCATAAACGAACAAGCTTTGTAGAATTAGCAATTACCTAGTTAGCTTTGAGGGGTGCAATGGTGTAAAAAAAAATTCAAGCCTTAGCAACTATCTGAAGTACTTGAAATGTAACCGCAGCCGGCCGAGATGAGCGCTCCGACACTAGTGTTTGCGTACATCTGGTAGCTTGAAGCCAGTTTTAGGTAAGTCTCAACTTAAAAGATAGCTGAGATTTTTGATGCGACTTCGTCCTGAAGTCTGCACGAGATCACGCCGCTCTGAGGGGAGCTTTCTGGTTATAATTTCTGCTTCAGTTTGCTGGATCCTTTTCATTCATTCAATCAAACACTTCCTGGTTTTCATACTCATGACAAGAATCTTTAGTCATGGTCACACGTTTCAGAGAATAATGAAGTTCCTGCCATTTCTCAAATTTGTACAAACCAAGACAGTTATTTCTGGCTTTCTCTCCCTGACATCTCCAATTTTTGTTTAGTGCTGTCTGAAATCGTGCTTAAAATAGATGACTGCAGTGCTCTCTTACATATCGAAGTTCCTAAGATACCCATTCACGATTTTAGGCAAAACATAGGAGCCAGCGTAGCAGTGTTTCCTCATTCGATTTTGCATCAACAGTTGATCAGTTGTGCGGCTCATAAGGCGTCCTGACGACTTCTTTAACTCTAACATATGAGCAAATAGTCGTGCCTACAAAGACGTGAAAATCTGCGGAATTCTGTTGACCTTCTTTACAATTCCCTTGACTACTATCTGATTGGTTGGCTGCCACCCAGAAAACTGTTCTTACTCTAATTTGAACTGAATTGCCGAAAGCACTATATGTGAAACATACACTGCCATATGGAGAACGTGATTACAATGTTATATTTTGCGCAAACCTAGGAAACTGCCTTTAAAATCGATTTGAACAGAGTAAAGCCCTAGGGTAATCAGTCGTTAGGCCAGGAAAACAAGAAAGATGTAAGGGTGAATCATAAAAGGTACAAAAACTGGAAATGACGACGACAATTAAGATGTGCTGCAAATAGCCGGTTAAAAAAACGTGGCTAATTCTTTGTAAAAGGGACAAATACAGATAAAGGCTATCAAATCCTCCTCTGCATTTGGGCCATTTTTTTTCCGGTTCATCAGCGTTTCAGTTATCTTCCCATCGGGAGTTTCCTATTCTTAGTCTATGATCTGCTGTCACTACACACATTTTCAATTATCTGTTGCTATTTTGAGTGCCAGAGAACTGTCCGAGCTATCAGCAATTCGATATTGTTTCAATCAACGGCCTCATTCTTAAATTGTCTCATGCGAGGAGGTCGTTCGCCTGCCCAAAACACGGACACCAGCACCAAGTATGTTTGAAACGCTTGCTTGGTGACTACGAAAAACTTCTTCAGTTCTGAAGAGCCTTTTTTGCGGGTGAGTAAAGCGCTGGCATTTCCTGCATGAGCAGAACACTTTCGTTACGTTAGAAGCCACCAAATCAGCGGGTTTTAACTCATAACGGAAAGAGGTAAAAACTACATTTTGGATTTTATTCTGCTTGTCGCCAGCTTGGCTATTTTTGGTTCCCGCCAGTGATTCATTTAGCATTTAATTTGACCTAAGGAACTTAATACGTTTAACCATATTTAACGAAGGTATGCTTTGAATCTCCACGCTCTTTTGCCAAGGACGGCCTAGAACTTTCTAGCTAAGGAGGCTTCTGTCTAAGAAGTGTAGGTTTTTTTGCGCCTTTGAGTACCACCTTTTTACATAGGTATCGTTTAAAATCATACTGCTGCCATTGCATTTCGTTCAAGAAAGAAACAGCCACGCTTGCGATGAAATCTGTCTATGGCTCATCAATTTAAGTTTTGACAACTCGCCCCGTTCCGTCCGAAAAATGTCAGCCGTACTGTATCAGCCTGACTTTGAATCATGATAATTACCACTGTCAACTGAGAACAATTCGATAACCAGCTAGAGCTCACGTTGTTTGAACATCTTCGACATTTATGTGAAGACAAGGAAGAAAACTTCGTTCTAGCGTAAAAAATCATTGTAATGAAGACGCCATGCATATAGAACTCTGAACGTGAGCTTTTGTTTAGACGAGGACACCTTAACTTTTCTATTGTATCCTCAAGGGGAACGTTAAGTCATGAATTGTCAAAAATTTCAGGCTTCGCAAACATCGGACGTACGTGTAAAACTCTTCCTATCATTTCGCGAAAATCCTGTTGGACGTTTATTTACTCTAATTTCAAAAAATATATCAGGAGTTATTTGCTCTTCCTTAAATGCTTAATCGTAAGGGATATCTCGATTACGTGCTCGATATGAAGATATTTTTACCCCATTTTGTTTTAGTTGGCGGAGAAATCTGAGAAAAAACAACATCAGATGTTTAGCTGATGACGGGCGCAGAAAAGTAAATGGTCGGGAAAGACGCTGTTTCAAAGTAACCATGATTGCTTCCTAATTGTGAAAACGTTTTTAGGAAGTCATTTCTTATTATTCACATTTAATCTCTCAATCTATATGCTGTAGTCGGATTAACAGTTACTTAAAAAGCAGAAGGGAAGGGTAGACTCATTTAGCTGAAGCGCACGTTTTCACGTTTGCTCAGATTCCCGACACGAAGAATTATTTTGATTAATATCTCGCGTTCGCGGGCGACCTGAGGAACGCGACTTCCACGCGTATACCACGCGAGCGTTCGTGCACGTATTCAGAAGTATTTTAGCTATGCCTGGCAATGTTATTCGAATGTTTCCGTTTTCAATGGCTCACTGTTGAGCTGGTAAAAAACCATCGCTCAAGTCACGGACAGGCTAAGTGCCCAAGGTCACCGCGCGAGTAATTATGCAAGCTCTGTTAATAAATTAACAAAGGAAAACCACAGGGAGGAAGTTTAGAGAAAACAAACACAGCAAAACAAATAAATGCCCAAGTGTGGCCGTACATCAGGTGGTTTAGTAAACTTAGCGTCACGCTAACATAGCGGTGTTTGTGGTTTCAATCACATTTTTTCACCACTCGAACAGAATCAGTGGCCGAGAACAGACAAAATATGCATGTTAATTCTGTGTAATCAGCGGGCTAGCAATGCGAAACTTAATACTGACGCGACAGGTAAGGAACACAAGCGGTCCAGGGTCACTTTACTCGATCGATAACCCTTCGCATTTAAAGTATAACCCTCATTTGGCGGGAAATTTTTTTCTAGAATGAAGTTTACGATATAATACGCAAAATACGACGGTCTATTTCTGCAGCGATTATAAAGAGTGAAAGGTACCTGGCGACAAGACTAGGGCCTTTGCTTTGCCTACTCTTAAGTAACCTCTCGGAAGTGGGAAGCTTTATCAATAGCATTTTTACTTCACTAATGTTTTGGTTTACCGCAATAAAAAAAAAAAGGATTATAATTGATGCGTTGCTTCATTATATGTTTCCTGGCACATGCAAAAAACTCCATAATTGCATTTACAGCTAGATAGCAATTTTTCGCACTAACTGTTATTAATTTTTTTTCTTTTAAATTGCTGCCCACGTATTGGTCTCGGGTTTGTTTTAATTTTTCGTTTACATCCCTTTTGTCTTTTAAGGAAAGTCTAAGCCACTTAGAAGAAGGGTCACGGTAAAGAATCCGCAAGAATTTCCGGAAGACGAAGACTCTTCAATAAATAGTGATTGATTAATAATAAATCCACTAATTAGCTCAGCTTTTGAGCCTGCCGAGCAATCAGGGGAAAGAATGAGCTTTAATTAAGTTATAATGCAGCATAGAACTTCAATTGTGATGAAATGAGAATTCGGTTCTTTTCCTTAAATAATCTTTAATCAAGGTTGCGAGCGGGAGCGATTGGTTTTCAGAAACAATACTCTGCCCTTTAAGTGAGACCCAATGAAAACAAAGTGCCTTTGTCTTTGAAGAATAATAGCTTCGACACCTTTCTTAAATGCTGCAAGTGAACAACTACAACTGAGTCAGTCAAAACATTGTTTGGTCGGATAAAACACTCTTGGCAGTTGTTTGCATTTAGGCGCCTGAATGCTAGCTTAGCTGGCTGAAACTTTTGGAAGATTGTCTATGTCTGCATTAGCGGAGGAACTTTTGCACCTATGATTAACCCGCGAGTCATTAAACTTGCAGAATTAACTTGGTAAATCTGTTGAGTTGTTAAGTCTTCGGTTGAGTAGATCGGGCGCGCACACAATCTACGTCCAGGGTTGTCAATCAAATCGCGTTTGAGACTGGTGTCGTATTACAGTCAGCCCGTAGCTAATTTTAGCGTAAATAACTTCACCATAAGGGTAAATTTGTGTATGCGTGAGTGCATCTTGCCCTTTAAGATTGTGACATATATCTTTTTGTTTCCCTCGAAGGTTCCTGACGTCGAGGGAGCGATTTACATGACATTGGAGTGGGTGGAAGTTCGATCTTTAAAGAAGTTGTGTTGGTTTACCTGTCGAAACGTTTCGCAAACCTGTTCGAGTTAAATATGCGAGGGAAGGAAGTGTAATGTCTCGGAATCTTGAGTATTGTTGGTCGAATCATTGCGTGTCGCCCCGCAGATCTGTTACAGGGAAATATTGCAGTGTTTGGCATCTGCATGCAACGAATTTTACCAACTATCTCTAACATCTGACAGTGGAACTGAATTCCAAGAGACTGTAAACGATCATGTCTTCTCGCGCGACACAATTTGACGCCGAAAAAGGGAGACCGGGTGCACGGAGCGCGAGCCAGACGCGCTCTCGAACCGAAGGAAGGTACGAAAACAGCAGAGAAGGGCGAGGGTCTCACAGAGCTCTGATAGGAACTAGTGATGTGGAACTAACGGAAGTGGGCATTTTGCACAAAAAAGCTTACGGGAAAACAAGTGAAAAGACTCAATTAAGAACCTCTAAGGCGCGCACTCATGGTAGTCATGTTTCTAATTCAACGGTAATTGAGGGCTCGCAGCAAAGTTTGGACTATGCCTCACCGCACTTGTCGGGAAGAAGCACACAGGATCATTCCCTCAAAGCGAACTCGAGTCCTTACGCTAGCACAGCAGCAGAAAGAACCATATTTATGGATAACATTCCAGGGATACCAGCAAATGAACAGTTGACTCAGCGAGGCGACCGAGCCGGCCGCACGCTATTTCCGCCCCCTTCAGTCTCCAACTATGGACAAAATGTTACTTATCCCACTGGTCCTTCATCTGACGTAAAAAGTTTGCCTAGGGACCCGAACAACACGAGTGATTTGGTTTTCAGCAAAGCTCCAACGAACAGACACTCGAAGTCGACCCGTCTTAAGAGCCAAGAAGAAACAGAAATGCAATGGAATGCGACCCAGGAAAATAGCTATCGTCCTCGAGACGAGCAGAGAAACAGACCTGCCGTGAACGAATTCCATTATGCGAGAACATCGCGTGGAAGGCGTAATAAAGATGGCGCTAATGTTGTTTACAACGATGTAAAATTTTCGGGATCGAGCCGCCAAAATGTTTCGCGACGATCGGCTTCTATCTCTTATTCCGAGTCACCAACGGATAGCCAGGGATCTTTGACAGAATCGGAAAGCGATATTAGTTCCTCCCCCGACACTTCGCTTAAACGCAGACGGCGCATTAGGCGAAAGCCGTCCAATAAGTCGATTGGTTCAAGTATGTACGGCGAAGACAATACCAGCGAGTCAGAAAACCAGAGTATCAGTGAATTTTCAGATACGAACAGTACAGCGCACTCTCTTGGAAAAAGACAAGGGCAGTTTGCGTCCGAAGAACGAATTCCTTCGTCTTTTGTTAGCTACAAAGAACAGCGAAGTGCTGCTGCCAACAAAATCCGATCAAGTAGTTTGACTTCTGTTAGCTCTCTTGAGGGAGCAGGGATTACTGGGGATTCTTCTAGAATCCAGTCACCGCTTACGTCCCCTAAAGGGAATGGCATTGCCAAAGTGAGAAAGGTTCAAATCCGCTCGTTTACTTCGTTTGCCGATAGTCATCTTTACAACAAAGAAAACCAACCGCAGAGGAGAAGATCCCTAGAAGAAAGGGAGCCCATCAAAAAGAGCTGGGGAAGAGTAGGGACTGAGACTACTGGGAGAGAACAGGTGAGGGTAAGACCCTCCTTAACCAGGCAAGGATCAGAGTCACCGTCTCTATCCAAAAGTCCATTCAGTCTCAAATCAAAACCGTTAGGGCGGAAAACAAGTAAAGATTCACACTTAAGTGACAGTGAAAGTAAGTGTAGTTATGAAAAGGGGAAGGAAAATTCTACCTTTGATAAATCTGTTTCACAGGAGCAAGAAGAGAGGTGCAATTCGGCACCACCAGCACCTTCCGAAATTGCTACTAGGGATTTTAGGGAGTCCAGGTTGCATTCTAGTTTACCTGAGAGTGGGCTAGCTTCATTGAGAAGTGCATTTGTTCCCATTAAACCCAGCAAAAGAACTCATGTGGACCACCAACAAGATCCATCATTAGGGACACCTGTCTCATTTGCTGACTTGAGGGCAGAGAAAGGTGTTTTAAACAACAATGACATTATATTACAGCCTGTGCCAAGGCATGGCAATCGACCACTCTCAATTGTCCAAGAGACAGATGAATTTGTGGATCTTCAAAATGAGGATACTTATGTTGCTGAAAATGTTGAAAAACTTTCCAAAAAATCACATCTAGCCAGAAGCTCCCCTATAAGGACATCTCAAGATCTTGGGAGAACATCATCACCAACTCATGATGACAACAAGTCCAAGTTACGGAGATTGTCCTATGTAAGGGCTCAGAAAAATGCAACAGAACTTCCCAATCACTCTCCAGATTTAGCTACCTTGCAGCCATCAGACATTGATTCTAATTCAGATTCATCACCTACTCTTTTGGAAAATTTTTCCGGGGTTCCATCTTTACGGATGTTCAATGCATACTCGAATAATGATACAAGAAAAGCTCTGAAAGAGTTTGATCCAAGTGACCCTCATGAGATCATACATAGTACTAATTCTCCTGTGGTAGCAGAAGGAGATTTGATTACTTTTGATGATGAAAATGGTGATGTAAAAGAACCAGTCAAAAAGAGACAGAAAAAAATTTCTCGACCTAAAATACCAACTATTTTAAGTGGTGTAGCAGTTGACTGCACTGGTAGTGTTCAACATTCTCAAGGTGCAAGAGGTATGGTAGAGGAGAATGATATATCTTACAACAAAGGTACGTCTAAAGTAAATTTATTGATAAGGATGTATGAATATTTGCTAATTTTAATTCTAAAAGAGATCAGTATGTTATTTCTCTCAGTTTAATTGCATCAGCAAGAGGGGAGAATTACAATTTGTATTCCTAAATTTAATGGAGCAAGCACCAAATCAACTAACCAGCAATTTCGTTTCAAGATGCGATCATTCATTTAACATTTGAATGAAGAAACATGAATGGATTTATATCTCTTAATTACAACTTAACACATGACCACTTCAACTTTCTTTGACAGAGCATACTACAAGAGTGATCCTCAACATGATTTTGGCAGTTATAGGAATATTTGCAATAAGGCATTTTCAACTGTGGAGTTTGCATGTCATTGATTAGCACATTACTGCAGTGGGTCAATGTCACTGACCTCTCTCTTTCTTGCACAGAACTCTCAGGACTGTTTGATGAGTCAAACAGTGGTACTGTTGTGGCCCATGAAAGTGGGGAGGACAGTACTCCCAGGGCAGCTTCTGATGTAGAAGAAAATGAAACAGTGGATGCACTTCACTTCTTGGGAAGCAAAAAGCTGGGCAAAGGATTACCTGATTCTTTGTATGACACTAAGAATACCATTTTTGATGATGGCAGCCAAAAAGTTCCACCACATAGGAGACAATTGAAGAAAAGGGCATCTCTTCCATTGATCAAAACAGAATTTTACCACGATGAAGTGAACATTGTTGAAGAAGCACCCAAACTTGATGTGGTACAAGAATCACCTAGCTTACGGAAAGCAGAAACAATCACTGATCTTAGTTTGGACCAGATGCCACACCACCTTGGGGTAATCTCATACAACAGTGGTGATATGACAGAGTTTCAAGATGACAAGAGTTTAAAGAGCTGCAGCCCTCCCTTAGGGCCTGTACCATCACCAAGTCCTAGCCAAATAAGTTTTGATGCACTTTCTTTGACAACCAGTGGCTTCAGTGAAACACATTCTGACCAGGTTAGTACAGGGGATCTGAATGCTGTTGACGACCTCCTAGGCATGGATGCTACAGGTAATATGAAGTCGCTGGATGCTTGGCGGTCTCAGAGTGACCCTAGCCATGGCACTCAGTTGGAAGACACTATTGCTGAGGCAGAGCTCCAGGCACATCGTAATAGCAACAGTGAACCAAATTTATCTGGAGAGAAATTAAAGGAGGAGGCTGAGAAGTTGGCTAAAAGGGTAAATGGTGGAAGCCAAGGTGAACCTATTCCTAAGACAAGTGTTATGACCAAAGGCGACGATGATGACAAAGAAACTTTGTTGGCAGAATTGAGTCCAGATGATGGATGCTATGATCTGGATAAACCTGAACGTCGCACTAAACCAGTACAGAGAGCAAAGTCTGCACCAGCTCCAACCACACCCACTTCGCCGAGGCCGCAAAGAATAGCAAATTCTTTTGCTGTGGAAAAGGCTCAGGCAAAACTCAACAAACTCTCAGCAATGGAAACAATTATGGAAATGCCGCATGCAGAACCATCCATAGAAAAACCCAAAGTTGAGAAGAAGCGAAGCCCATCAGTTGAAGGGAGCTGCACCTCCCCCAACTCTCCAGGGGTTCCAAAAGAGGACAAGAGGAAACTTTCAGTGCCTAAAGAACCAGGAAAGTCCCAAAAGTCTAAGCATGTGAGTACTGTGTTGATAGTTTTTGTTGAACATTGTGTGCAAAGTTTCTCTGTGTTTATGTTTTACAATGCATTGTCTTGTTTTTGTTAGTTTTACAAAGTAAATTTGAATAACAGAAAAAGATTTTTATACTAAAACAACTAGGGCTGTGCTCAAGCTCAGCCTGGCTGCCACAGGAGACTAACTTTTGTTGTTTGGCCACCAATGTAACTTTGCTTTCACAAAAGCTTTTAACATTTGGAAACCCAAGATTTCTGTGACAAGTGCCTTTTGCTACTCGGTGATTTTTTTAAGAGTGCAGTCTTGGCCAGTAATTCCTCAAGGTAATTTTAAGTTTGGTTTGGCTTTGAAGTTAATTCACTGTGTGACAAAGTCTTTTCTCTGTGAGTTATTTTATTTATAAGATTTGGGAAATTTTCTGTCAATCTTCAAAGTGCAGCATGCTAGAAAGTTAACAATTGGGTATTTCTTTCTGATACAGTTCATAGTGCATGGTATGATGATTTTGGTTTTCAGTTTGGCCCCTCTGACGTCATATGCCATTGAAATGTTTATCTGTTTCCATGGCAACAGACAAATGAATGGTGTAAACATCAATTATCCATCTGACAATTTTTAGGACTTATCTGTTGTAGACATACCATTTCCCCTGATGATGTCCCCTTTAAATCACTCAAAAAAATTGATCATTACTAATTTTTGTCTACAATCAAGGCTTGACCAGACATACCCAGCACATGTTCACTTTACAAGTGTGGTGTGTCTAAAAGGCAGAAGTTTAGAGACTGTTAATTAGAATTGGACAATCAAAAGGAAGCAGATTTAACCTGACAGAATGACACTGCAAATTTCTGCATTAGTTTTGTCATCTGTTGTGGCAAACTGATAAGTTTGCATTATTCCAGGGTAATTTGTTGATGATATTGTTACCCAAAACAGATCAACACACTGTTGAATTAAAAGGGACTTTGCCATAAAATGATCCGTTATACTTCTTAAGCTGCAGTTCATTTGATGTAGATTTGATGACCTGAATCTTCATTAAAATTTTTTAGTCTGTGTACTCAAAAAATGTTAGTTATTTCATAACTTTACCATACCTGTTTTGTTACCAGCTTTTCAATACAATCCAGGGGGTAGAGATAAGCCAGCACTCATCCAAGCATGAAAAAAAACACAGTTGTTAAAGACTGCAAAAAAAAAGGATATAGGGCTTTCAAATTAAAAGGCCTTCTAAATTTAGAACAAAACTCTATCTGCACACTTCAATTAAGGGCTTAATAGCCCAAATAAGACACTGTTGACTGTGTGAATGAGATGTAATTGAATTGGATCTTAAGTGATGGGAGGGTTTGGGTCATTTATGAGCTGGAGCTAGATATGTTGAGGTAATAACATGGCCTGTTTGTGAAGTAGTGCTGATTAGTAATCAAATATTGTATGAATTTGATTGATGATGTTGGTATTGATTTCCATAATGATTAATTATCTCCTTTCTGTGGTTAGGGTCTTATTGTGTCAGCAAATAATAAAATTTGTCACTAAATTTTCTGTATTCTGCATGAAGTAAGGTGGATTAAACCACTTGTATGAAATTAAAATACAAAAAGTGACTGTTGAAAGAAGGTCTTACTATTAACCCATAAGGTACGATTGCTTTCAAGTCAATATTACCACAACTGGCACTTTGGTGATACCTTATGGACCAGATGAATATTATACAAAGTTTGTACAGTTGATACATTCAATACATAGCAGACATGTAGAATTCAATGGAAGCATATGATATTTTTACAGTGGTTTCCATTCGAAAAAAGTTTAAGAAAGCTCTGAAATGGAATTATTCCCTTGTTTTCAAAGCAGTATCAACCATGAGAAAATGCTTCATTCATGTGGAGTGCACATAAACCCATGCTCTTTCTCTCTCTGACTTAAGTTTGCATGCATGGATCCTGCTGGTATTCTAGAATAGTCTGAAATAAAAAACACTCAAAGCAGCTGTATATTTTCTCATTTAATTGCTTTACTTTTCTTCAGAAAGATTAGTAAATTTCATGGCAGCCATTTTACAAATTAATGCCAACTAGTATCATTGTCATTTTAAGGGGTGATCTGTAGGAAGATAATTATATGTTCTTCTTCTGTTTAGAGAGTACGCTTGTCCTAATGATCACTTGAATAACTTTCTTTGTATGGGTTATAAATATCTCATGTATGAGAACATACAATTTCATGTAGTTTGGAATCATAGATGTTTCCCGAAAACCATATCAGGACAAAAGCCCATGACAGATATGGATCAACATACATGTGCATCACATTATAATACAATTAACAAATGGTAAACACCACAGTGTACACTATTGAGTTATGGATGCACGCGGGAGGTTGCTAGGCACGAAAGAAGCGCAAGAGTCACTTGAGGCGATAGCCGAGAGCGACTCTAGCTTCTTCAGTAAGAAGCAAATGGGCAAATGGAGCAAGTGGAGGATGGGCAATGGAGGATGGTGAATTGACCAATCAGAACGTGCACTTTGCTTTGGTTATGTTATAAAACCTAATATATAAAGCAGACAAGTAAACAAGTGATAATGATGACAACAACATGAGAACAATACTTATGTGATTGAATATTGTTTTTGGATATCTCAGACTAGCTCAACTTTTTAACAAATCCCCAAAAAAGATTTTGAAAGGAAAGATTTGTTTTTAAAGGTATATTTTGGAAAGAGTTAGAGAAAAGAAGAACCATAACCAATAGTAACAAGTTGTCACTTTTAAATTTATTTTCAGGATTTGAGAGCCCATGTGCTGAAGAACTTGGTTGATACTGAGATGTCTTATGTACAAAACCTTCAGTTTCTAGTTTTGGTAAGTTTTTTTTTTTTGTATGCTTGTATGCAGTATTTTACTGTTAGTAGTATACATAGATTTGCTTTCACTGGTTCAAGTTAGAATATTCCTTTATCTTCTAAATGTTGAAAGGCCTTAGTATCCAAAATTATTTTCATTTTTTTTGTCTCATTTCCTCTTTTCTCACAGTTGTTTTCCACCTCATAAGAATTGATGGGCATGAAATGCTCTCTCTATACACTTTTTCTTCTTACAATTTTCAACCCCATACCTCCTAGAAATTATTAACATTTGATTTCTCCCCATAATATCCATACATTATCTATCAAACAGGTAATAAAAATACTCAAATTTATCAGGTAGAAGTTGTTCTCTTGATCCACATGTAACACCAAAATCTTGTAGCTAATTCACAAGGACATGAAATTATGAGGAAAAGTGTAGCAGCTAGAGGGGAAATTGAATAATCAGATCTCAGGAGTTCAAGGGTTGTACAAGGCACTAACTAGGGTTTTAAGTCTCTCTATAAAGTTCACCCATGGTGATAAAACAAAATTGTCATTCATCAGCCAGTATTTTTCACTTCTTCTAAGTAATACTGCTGGTAATTTGTACTTTTTTTTTGTCTTGAAAATAATGTTGATTGAGTTTGCAGCCAAACTTTTTGACAGTATGGTATTTACGTGTAGGTAAACAGGTTTCCTGTACGGGCCATTTTGAAAAATTAATTATTTTGCTACAAATGCATGTAATGCAACTAAGGAAGATTTAAAGAGAGTGCATTTTGTGAAAAGAAAACGATTTTCACTTTAATTATTCTTTGAGATAAACAAATTACAAGAAGAGAATGGCTTTTCCTTAGTTGGCCTTTTGAACCCACCAACAGATTATAGTTTAATTAAGACAATTTAACATCTAACTAATGCATCTGTGCAAAGAGATATCACAAAAGAAGTATCAAACTCTCTTAAAGCATGTGTGTGTTTATATCAACTAATGGGATACTCATAATCTTACGATTATCCCGCCTTTGTGAATCAGCTAATTGCACTCATCATGCAGTGTATTTCAAGTAATTTTACTAAGAAGGTCATGTTGGGTCTGAAGTGTGTTATCCTATTTTTAGATGACAAATTCCTAATTCATGTCATTTTTCAAGTCATAATTAGTGGATTGTTTTTGACTCTGCTGAAAAATGTTTTTGAGATTGTAGTACTTTGTGTTATGAAATAACCTTAACTGATGTAGAGATACAATCTTAATGTTTAATCAAATGATTTTGAATTGATTACAAATGGGCCAAAATACCACAGATGCCATTCATTGTCAAACACTTCAGAAGAGGAAAGCAAAGTAGTATTGTATTGCAAATGGACCAAAATTGAAAAGATTGTTAATTAATGTGTGCATCAATTAGTGTAATCTCTTTTTACTTAAGTGGTCATGCAATCATTCTAAAGAATGCTACTCCTTTTAAGAACGTTATCACGTTAATTAAGGGAAAAAGTAGATTTTTACATCTGTGAACTAGAAGTCTTAATGTTGTTTCCTGTGGTGTAAATCTTGATACTCAAGCTATAACAATTTATTGTCTACACTGCTAAGTGCTGGTAATTTTGTTTCCATTTACAGAAAGAGATCATTGTCTTGTTTGTTTGCCAGCCTGTTTTAATTTCCTGTGGATATTAGCAATCCATCTCTAAATTTGTTTTGAATTGTTTTTCTGTCATCCATCACAAAAACAAGCTTGAGAGCACTGAAATGTCTAAATCAATGAAAGGTGCTGAAACAAGGAGAATAAGAGGATAGGAAAGTGCTGCCATTTATTCAACAAGCTCCTTTGATTGAAGTATTGTTTGATATGGGTAAACTCAGTGAGAGCCAGTAATGAAAAATGCACATGGGGGCTTGCATGCTTTGGATATTTTTTCATGTAGATGTTGAAATTTGTTTAGAACTTTCCTGTGAATATGTTACTTTTTTTAGTCTTCTTTCACTTTTTTTTGGCTTGTAATCAGTCATAGGTATGTTATGTTAAGCTACCATTAGTATAAGCAAATAAACTTGCACAAAATTTTCATGCTGCAGAGTATGTAATTAGATCTGTGAATAACTATCCTTGGTGTTGACCTTTAAGAGTGAGTGCAGACATGCACTGACTTATTAAAAAAATATAATGTCATAATTATGTCAAGTTCTGTGTAGCTCATTAATTAGTGGCAAGGCATCTGATTGTGGGTATAGGTTTGAAAACTTGACTTTGAGCCTCTCTCCCCTCTCTTTTCTTCTCACACTTGTTACAATGAAGTTGCTTTCAATACTGACCTCCTCCAACAATCTGCACTTGTCCCTTTTTGACAACAGAGCTATTACAAGGCATTGAAGAAGCAAGAAAACTCTGGGATTGTAGAGCCAGCACAAGTTGACGAAATGTTCTATCAAATCCCTGAAATCCTGTTATGTCACGAGTTTTTCCTTCAGCAACTGCAAGCCAGAGTATCAGAGTGGCATGACAAGCAAAAGATTGGTGATATATTTGTTTCATCTGTAAGTATCTCAACTGGCAGAGAAACTTTTTAGAGTCTTTATTTTATGACTATTCAGTTGCAAGGGATATACTGTATACAGATATGTGGGCTTGTTGGACTTTGCCAGGGTCCCACCAGAGTCTCCCTGTGAGAAAGCCAACAACAATCATCATTTACAAGCGAAACCTGATGAAGTCAAGTAAAGTGAAGAACAACTTGCAACTATTAAGCCTTTACACCCCATCATCAGTATGCATATTCTCCATACTGGTCTCTATACATTTTCTTAGGTGTTGACAAGGAGAATTTGCTTGTTCAATCAAGAGTTTCTGTGGTTGTTGATCATGTTCATTATTCTTATGACCTTAATTTGATTCAAGGGTGATACTGTAAGGAGAAACAATAATAAATATTATTTTAAGGGTTAAAGAGTTAATGGAGAACAGCAATACTGTTCGCTCCGACGAAGGGCTAACGCTCGAAACGTCAGCTTTTTTAATCATAACGGTGGCCAATTTACCATTTCAACTTTGTTGATACTGTGTACATCTTGCTATTTATTTTCCTAAGGGAACTAGGATAGTGCAGGAAGAACTCTTGTGTCCTTCTACAACTGTAATTCATAGCATTGCATGTGGGTTAAGTGTACTGTTACTTCTTGTCATTACTCTGGGAGTTTTTCTCTTTGTTCGTTGATTTTCTTCACGAGCAAAATCAACTCTCTTAACTCCAATTGACCCTGGAAACAGTGACTGGTGAGAGCTGCTAATTTTCATTTATGCAGCTATATTCATGTACAGCTGTACCTGGGTAATTGCTGACAGTGTTTGCTAGATTTATGCCCAGTTGTGCCCTTAAACTTTCTTTGCTGCACACCTGCAATGGCTACGTGACTCGTGTTCTTTTGATTCTGAAAATTAATGAAAATAAAATAGTTTATTTCTCAGTAACTGAACACTTACAAGTGTCTTTTCATTGTATCTTAGTTTACCAAGTGTTTCCTGGTGGATGCTTACAGTGCATTCATCAATCACTTTCTTCAAGCAAGAGCAGCTGTGAGAGTAGCTACTGTAACCAGACCAGCCTTTGTGCGGTACATGGAGGTACTAATCATTTTTTTTTTTGTTACCCTGTTTTCATCATGAAATATATTGTTGCCAGTGAAAGAGTAATGTCAAAGGTGTTTTCTCATTTCAGCAATGTTCCCGTGAGCACAAAGAAAAGCTGACCCTCCAAGACCTGATGATCATGCCTGTTCAGCGAATTCCACGATATGAACTTATACTCAAGGTAAGTTTATAAATACTCTTTAAAATGTGAGCATTATACATATCAAAACATGCAATATCCAGAGTTTTGATCTCCATGTCTTTGCAGGAGAGTGAGAGAAAAGGGATCAGATAATGCAATTCAAGACTTTTTTTTTGGCTTAGCCATTATGGCATAAGAGCCAATAAACCATAATCTAATATCTGTACATTGTAACATCCGCTTTCTTCTTACAAAATAAAGTCGAGAAGATTTGTCTAATATCTGCCTCATTGGCATGCGCGCTCGTGGAATAATTGTTAATTATGTATGTTTAGATTGCTTATCAATCAAACACTTCAAACAGGGCTTTGTTCAAACATTCTGCACATTTAAGATCCAAGAGAAACATCTTTTCATTTGCTGTTACAGGACATGATAAAGCATACTCCACATGATCATCCTGATCATGGAAGCCTTCAGCTTGCGCTGGGAGAGATAAAGACGTTGGCAGACAGAATGAATCGAGGAGAAAAAGAGGTTGATCAAGCTGAAAGGGAAGCTGATAGACTCCGAGAACTTGAGGGAACTATTGAAGGGATGACAAATGTAAGTAACATGCTTTTTGTTTACATGCATGGCATTGTAATGCATTCCATGCAACACAATGTTTTTTGTTTATTTAGTTATACTTTTAATGCATGTTATAGCCCCCCTTTCTGTTAAGCTTTTTACCTGGTTAGAGCTTTAATTTTCTAATAAGCCCTCCCTTTCTGACAAGCACTCCCTCTAAGATATTAAAAAAAAAAAAAAAAAGAAATAACACAGAGCAATATCATAATACTGTAATATGGACATGCGAATAATTGTACCATGATATTACTGTCTAGGAGCTAATTAGAATGTTGTCTCGTTGTCAGAGGTGTGGTGCCCTAGTGGCTATCACTCTGGGGTTGAAAGATCCTGGTTTAAGCTTCTGCTAGGTCATTGTGCTGCATTCTCGGAAAAGATGTAAACTATAACTTTCAAAGTGCCTCACTGCATTTTTTAGGTTTTGTACCCTTTTTCAGAAACAAATTTAAAGGACTTTTCCAATACTCAGTGTGAATTTTCCAGGACTCCTAATTTCAACTAAAACCCTTTCCTCCCCAAGATTTCAATTCTCCTTATGGTGAACATAAATTTTTTTTAATGTAACTTCTGAATAACTTTATTGCTCAAGTTGAGCAGATTTCCAGGAAATTCTATGACCTGTAGTCTTTTTCCAGGAATGGAAGGTCTTGGAAAAAAAGTCAAAATAAAATTCCAGGAATTTTCAGGCTTTCTGGGTAGCACAAACTGTGTGATAATCTTGATAAAAAATGCAGGGGTGGGGGTTAACTTTTTAATGGACTAGTTTCCAACCAGGAAAAGAATTAATATTTATAGTTACTCCATGCTACAGAAACTGGGTATACACTCTGGCAGCTTTGTTAAGATTGTATAAGAACTTGAACATATTTTTCTCTGACAGTTAAACTGTAAAGTGTACCCAAACTTGATAAAAAGGTTCTTCTTTTTTGCAGTTGGTGACTCCAACACGTCGATTAATCAGGCAAGACTTGGTGGCTGAGGTGGTGAGTAAAATATTCTAGACTTTTTGGCCATATTAGTATAAATTATTCACAATGTTGAATACAGTACATCTTCATGATTTGCATTCTGTTATTATTGTAACAGAAAGGCTCAATAACAAAGAAAGACAGATGCCTGTTTCTTTTCAATGACTTGCTGGTGTGTGCAACTGTCAAGCGGAAGGCAAATGCTCTTAGGAGAGGTTCACTAAGCATGTAAGTAGACAAACAAAAATACTTCGTTACACAAACAGTAGGTTATTGTGTGCTTCAGCGATCAGTGCTTAAGGAGTCATACCTGTACCCAGGTTCCAAACAAGATATGTGAAAGACTGACTTGAATATTGTGGCAATGTGTTAGGGAAGACTGTTTGGTACTACGAACAAGAAGCTGGATGCTCAAGTCTCAATAATCTCAAAAAAAAAACGGCCACTCACCAGACACTACTTTTACAAATTCAAATTTGACATACTTTTGGCTTCCACTGCTCTCTTCGTACATACTGATTTTGTTTTTACTTAGAAGTTATATTATGTATAATTCTCTATTTTCAGATTTAAGTTATATTTACACTACATGTAATTTTCCATTTTCTTCATGCAATCCCATCAGCTTGTAGCTTATATAGGTATTTTTCTGAAAATTTTGTCATGGGTAAGAAGAGTTTGAACAACTGGATTGAACATTTTTAACCAAATTAAAATTAAACTTGATTGTAAATGTTTAGTTTTTATGACAGGCAAACCCAGCTTGAACCCAGTGAGGGCACCAATTGGTTTTTCAGCTAATTTGACTTGCATTACTGTTACTGTTTGTTAGATTTTCGGGATCTGGTACTGAATTTAACAAGTACAAACTACTCTGGAAACTTCACCTTGATGATGTTGAGATCTACAAATGTAAGTGATCTGTTAACCACCAATTGCATTTGGTATTTATACTATTCTTGGACCATGTTTTCTTATTATTTGTTTGTTTTAACTGTTTTATGTAGCATCTCCAGAAGCACAGAGACGGAATAGTCTGGAAAGGCAGTTGGAGAAGCTTGACAATGATATGTCATTGCTTAGTAGAATCAGCTCCTTTGCAGACACCCTGACAATTGCTCACATGGTAAGTACAGTCATGTATAGCGTGGCTTTGCAGGATTTCTGCAACTAAAAATAATTTTGCATGAAACTTGCGTCTAAGCATCACCTGGGGCACAAAACCCTTTTTGAAGGATAGAATCATTTTACTCTCTCGATTACCTTTCTTATACTTGTTTTCTCGCGCAAAATTTTGGGGCTCCATTTCTTGGAAATGACGGGGGCTCACTGGGTCTTCTGTGGCTAATTTCTAAATCAAATCCTGTGCATTTAGTTCACAAAAGTAAGGGAGTTTTTTAGTCAAACTATAGATCACATATCAGAACATTAATGATGAACACATCGAAACTGTAGCTGATTTGTAAGAGACAAGGTAACCTATAACTCTCAAGATCTGATTGTTGATTCTTCCCTCCAGCTGCCCTACATTTCCCTTTAAATTAGTTATGAGAATTTGGTGTTGGATCAAGATAACAACTTCTGTGGGATAAGTTTGAGTAGTCTGACTAACTGTTTGCTGGATAATGTATGGATATTATAGGGAGAAGTTACGTGTTATGGACTTCTGGCAGTTAAGGGGCCAACAATGTAGACCTCAGTTGGAAAGGTCCACATGTAAGTCTTGGGCCAGGTGGGGTCACTCTAGTCTTGTGTTCTTCAGGGAGACACCTCACTCCTTGGGGCCTCTTTCCACCCAGGAGTATGAATGAGCACTGATGGAAAGTTTGACAGAATACTGAGGGTTACCATAGATACCCCAAGTCGCTTGATGTTACCATAACAGAGAAAATCCTCTTCAGCTGTGTGAATCATTAACCTTTTTACTCTAAGCCAGTGGGAACATTTGCTAATTATCTTTTTGTTAGACTTTTTGTGCATTACAGGCCTTAGATGGGGCTATTCGAGAACTCATGAATGAAGTAAACCGGCAGATTTCAGAGAAGCAAATTCCATTGCAACCTCCAACTTCAACCAAGCTGGAGCTACATGTCACTCGGGCAGAGTCAGTGAAAAGTCAACTTTCTTTATATGTAACTGTGTGAATGATAAAACTCTTGAAAAAAGTAAACGTATGAGGTTTTTTCACTCAGGAAAAATTGGCAATGTATTTTGGTCTGCAAAGACCCTTAATATTTTATAAATTACATAATTTTGTACAGTTTCTTACCCTTGCAGAAAGCTTAGTTCTGGGTGGGCTTGTGGTGTTCAGTACTTAAGCTTGGTCAGGAAATCAACTTTCCCTAAGTGTTTTGTTGTCTTTTTTTATTACACTTTTTTTATGGTTGAATTTCATTCTTATCCTGTTTAGGTTTTCAACAAATTTCTTCTAAATATGTGTATTTTTAATTTGCTCTACCATTTCATTAATCAAGGCATTTCCTTTCTGTTGTTTAGAGATGATGGACCTGAGGAGAAAGATTTTCAGTTCTTGTTCTTGGAAACAGAAATAAAGAATTCTTGGGAGGCTTACTTTGAAGATGCAAAACAGAAACTTGGTAAGACCCTTTAAAAGAATGACTTTTCAAGGAAAACACGCCGACTAAATATTCTATTTTTTTTTTCTCAGCCTATGCCAAAGACACATTTCCCCCAGAGTTTCAGTATTGTATTCCCATCAATAAAACAAGGAGTGGAATGCAGGTGAGAGATAATACATTTCTCTGAAGATATTTCTTTTCAAAAGCGATGTAACGCTCCCCTCCTGTGAGGGACAGGTTGTTGTTGTTTTGCAGCTTGGGCACTATTTCTACACTTACTTTTTTGCCATTTTACCTCTTTTTGTTTTGTTTAGTATTTTGTGACAGTTGTACAGAAGGTTATGGGTTTAAATCCAGTTCGAAGAGCTGGATTAGTAAGTTGGTGGTTCAGTGCTGGGTTTGTTTGCTGGTGGCTCCTAAGTCCTTTGCCTTAAAACTGGATGCATTTTCCTCAGTAGTATCAGTTCAGTGCCTTGACTGCACTTTGTGCAGAATGGTTAATTAAAATTATGATTATCCTAATTGACCAATTTTCACAATACATACATACAGATGTTAATTGACCACTCCCCATGGGGGTTTTTCAGGGACAATTCCCACCCAGCAACCACCCCAGAGGAGGACATCCATCACACTGTAATCTCGTGCATGGGAAATTAATGTCTCCTACCCTTAACCCTGCAGGAGACGGGACCTCCATTTATTTGTCCCTATCCGAGAAGACTAGAGTATCTAACCATTTCCTAATATTGAAAGGTAGCATATTCTTGTTTTAAGACCTTGAGTGTTGGTCCGGCTGGGGCTCGAACCCTCAATCTCCCACACAACAGTCCAGCGCTCTATCCATTGAGCTATCTGAGAGGTGGTCCAGAATTCAGATGCGTAACATTTAACTGACAAGTACTGCATCAATTGAGAATGTTGTGATGATGATAATCTCTGCTCAGGTTGTCAGAGACTGTCACTCAAGCTGACAACAGTGCTTTTCAACACTTAACTCGTGTAGGCAGAGATACTGAGATAATTTTATAATTATTTGTTGTAGTTCACTTGTTCATCACCAAGCCAGGTACCTCACATGCTGGACAGAGGAAATCACAATGGCTCTGGAGATGTGTGGGTTTGTAACAGTGATGGTTATGTTGGACAAGGTTGTATACTCAGAATGGGTGTGCAGATTCAGGTGAGAATTGACTGATATAGGCAGCAAGTATCACCAGAAAGGGAGGATGGGCAGTGTGTATTATACCAGGACATATCTATGGGAATTTAAGAGCTTACTAATGTGTTTTCTTATCATGGAGTTTTTCTTATCTGAGAGGGGAGAGGTCACATTTATCCTAGTCTCCCCCCCTTAGTAGCTATACCCTGGTTTAAAATATGATCTTTTGAGACACCCCCCCCCCCCTTCCATCAAATCCTTCCCTCTACTAAGTCATATTAAACTCTCAATTTACTTTGAAATATTGATATTGTGGGATCATTCTCAATTGTAAACAGAGGGTTTTACTTTAATAGTAATGGATTATCTAAAACTTATGACAATGAAAAGTCATTTAAGACTGTGGTTATAATTATTTTATCACTTATGACTGAAGTGGTCAGGTTGGGTATTCTTCACTGAGGAGCTTGACAAATGCATTTTTCGCCAAGTTTTGATTATTTTAAGGGAACAGATTGGTCAATAGGTCCCTATCCTTAATCCAGTGCTTACACTTGAACTTGGCTTTGATTTCTTAGGTATAAAACAAATATTCCAAAGAAATTTTTGTGGGATTTGTTTTGACAGTAAGGCAAAATTGAAGGGAAGAAACTATGAGCTAAAATTAAAAACTGTCAGTAAAAGCAACAAAGTTATTGAAGTTTTCGTCATTCTAACAAGCTATACTTACTGATTAGCGACTTATACACTGTTTGTTATGTAAGGGCTTTTTTTAAGCAGGCCCTTGAATGAGCGTCGTCACCATTTCGTATATTTAGATTAAACGTATTTATTTTTAAATTAAATTTCTTCATTTTCGTATTTTCATATCTTGCCAAACGAATACTTGTGATTCCCTTCGCATTGAAGGCTATTTTACTCACTGCAAGAAATGTCTCATAATGTCGAAAATTCTCGAACATAGCTCACCTGTTGTTAATTTGTTTCATTTTACAGCCGTTTGGTTCGATAACTGTTTGCATGTCGAGAATTCTCTGCATCTCTCCTGTGCCTGGAACGAAGTTTAGCGGCTTAGAAGCTCTCCAGTCTGAAAGCGAGACCAAAGCCGACACTCATTCTATTTCAATGGGAAGCGAAAAGAGCAGCAAAGCGAACACAACGCCGAAAATTTCACGTTCCGGTTATGCGAGCGACGAAGATGTCACAGGACCTCAGAGAATCATGGCTTTTGACAGCAGTTCTGAAGACGAGGAGGGACTGGGACAGGAGAGTTTTCTTGGCGGGAAATTCAACGACGCAAGCTCTCCGTTTGACGTCGACGGTCGACTTAGTCCCGAAGGCAGCAGTTTGGGAACTATCGGAAGTGCGGACGGGTTAGACAGTAGCCAGGATGAAAATGTGTTTGAGTTTGAGGAAAATTACTCCAGCGGTGATGAAATAAAGGAGAAAGGATCCCGAAAGCACTCGAAGCGAAGAATGGGTTCATCTCGTACTAGCGAAGATCTCAAAGACAGCTTGTCTGATATTGTGAATTTTGACACCGATGAGCCATGTACAGTTTGGCTTGGCACAGAAGATGGATGGTAAGTCTCCTTTGTGTGAAATTTATAGCTTATTTGATTTACTCGCTCAAAAGAATTGGGGGGGGGAGGGGATAAATTGGCGCGGAGTTTAGCTGCTTGGAATGATACTGCCTTAGCAGAATGTCACCGTGTGCACTTTCATACCGATTCTAACTCAACGTTAATTTGTTAAAGACTCTGAAAAACAAGCAGACAGACAGAAGGAGACAGTCAGAAAAAACTACGGATCAACAGGCAGACAGAAGTACATGCACAAGCACACCCCATCATCAACAGCAACACCAAATCAACGACAGACATTTAAATAGTACGAAACATCGTCTAAGCGTTCTTAGATTGAATCTTACACATGTTCTTTGTCCTAGTATTTTCGTGTATCCGGCGAAGGAAGCTCAGAATAAAAAGTCGAAATTAAAGCTACAGCTTTCAGGATCAATTCAGTGCATATTGTAAGTATTTTGTTCCGTGCCTGATCGCAAATTCGTACAGAGATAGTCTTGAAATCAAGTTGTGTACATCAATGTATCTAAAAGTTCAACTAAAGAATCTGGAATACCAAAAAAAAAACGTGCTTACTTTTTCTTTCAGGTATGTTGATAATCAAGTCTTTATTTCACTGTCAACGGGCGACTTGTACATTTACAGAAGACAACCTGGTAAGATTTTAAGCGATTGGTTTTCTTCTCACGAAGCGTGAAAAAATATCTAACTAGTGTTAAGCGCGGGAAAACGTATAACCAGTGTTCAGCGCATGACAACACGCGACCAGTGTTAAGTGCGGGGAAACGTGTAACCAGTGTTCAGCGTATAACAACACATGGCCGTTGTTAAGCGCGGGAGAACGTATAACCAGTGTTCAGCGCATTACAACACGTGACCAGTGTTAAGCGAGGAAAACATGTAACCAGTGTTAAGCGAGGAAAACATGTAACCAGTGTTAAGCGCATTACAACACGTGACCAATGTTAAACGCGGGAAAACATGTAACCAGTGTTCAGCGCATAACAACATGACTTGAGCGCGGGAAAGTGTGCAGCCAGTGTCAAGTAAGGAAAGAATACAACCAGCGCTTGGCGCGAAAAACATTCAATCATTGCTAACATAGTAATAAATCAGTGCTAAGAGCGAGAAAACGTGTTAACAACTGTGAGCACGCTAGTCAGAGATTTGTAGGACGCGGTGGTTTGTGGTGTCTTTTTTTTACCGAACTTTTAAGAGAGAAAAAAAAATAATTGATACGCATATGAAGAGAGATCCAGAGTTAACGGTAATGTACCATTCGTTTTACAGGCTGTGCATGGGAGGTTGGATCACCTGTGATGCTTCATATTGGAGAGTCAACAGGAGTCTCTTGTATGACGGCTATACACGGCCGATTGTGGTGCGGTCTGGGATGTAATGCTGTTATAGTCAACACAACCACTTTGGAAGTCGAGGTAAGGACCAGTTCGCGTGTTGAGGTCTGACCTCCCCGAAGATTTTGTCGATGAGATTATAACTAGACTGTAGGGAAGAGCTAAATACTCCTAAAGACACGGGAATTTTTTTGCACTCTACATAGCCGTCAGACAAGTCGCCAAACTCGTTTTCTTTTGGCCTTTTTGCAGACTTCTTTCAACTGTAGCCTGGATAAGGACCGCAGTGTGTACCGGATGGCAAGCTCTGGTATGGGTGTGTGGATTTCACTGCAAAGTTCCGCTACCGTCAGGTTGTTCCATGCTACACGCTATGAGTGTTTGGCTGATGTTGATGTGGCTCCACCCGTACACAAAATGCTTCAAGGTAATTTGTGTTTGAGTTGAGCTTGAGGGCAATTTTCAATTGGGTTTCGAAGATAACTCGAGATTGCTTCTGTGTGTGCTTGGTCTAGAAAACTCATGCTAGTCTCTCAATTAGTCGGCCGTGTTAACTTTTTCTGTTTTTCTTCTCGTTAGGTTCCGATGCAATCATCCGTCAGCACAAAGCAGCTTGTTTGCGTGTCACAGCTCTCCTCGCCTGCAAGGACCTTTTGTGGATTGGCACTAGCGCAGGCGTAGTTTTAACATTACCTCTGCCAACAATAACCGCTAGCACGGCTTCTCTTCGTAATTGCCCATCGGCGACAGCTTCCTTCCATGGACATACGGGACATGTGCGTTTTCTCACTGCTGTAGAAGCTCCTAAAGAAGGAGGACAAGATAATACCAATGATAAAAGCTCTAACAGTACCATAAGCACTTCTTCTTCGACAGCAAATGCTGCGCTCCCACCTGGCACTTCCGCTGGTCGAGAAGTGTTGATAATAAGCGGCGGTGATGGCTATGAGGACTTCAGGACGAGCTCCGCCAGTGAATCCGCTGGACGTGATGACAGCACGAACCATCTCCTTATTTGGCGTGTGTAACCAGTTTGGGGGATACTGAACCCTTTCGTTCGACAAGATGTCGCTAGGCAACGTTAGCTAGTTGATTAGGACACCACTTCAATTAGTAAACAAGAATGGAGGATCATTTCTTCACTTCCTTTGCGAAGTTATTGAAGGAAAACGAGGTGCATTCTCAGCGCCAAATTTTTACCACATGCGACCAAAATTTGAACGTTATCTTTTTAAAGAAGAATTCAAATTATTTCTAGTAATTTTTCAGCGGATGACTTAAAGTTAATTTAAAGTTTATTCTAGACGGTTGTGATCATTGAATTTTAAATTCTCTGCCCGGCGATTTTTTATGAGATTTGTTTTTTGTAAGTCATGGACGCGTTAGATTTCTTGCGTGTTGGATGAATCTTGCGTATTTGTCGGAAGTAGCGGAACCATTTAAATAGTGGTCAGAAAAGTGTTGCTCAGGGAGTTCGAAACAGGGACTCTTTAAGAGCATTCGAAATACATTGGATCACAGCAACAGAAGTATTTTTATAAGGCAGTTAATATTTTGTCAACTTGTACATAGCTTATCGTAAAATTTTGTGCAACAAAAGTGAACGTTCCACAGAAACTTACGAGTGGAGTTCGTAGTGGTACTATTGCAAGCTGATTTGTATATTTATGCCAGTTTTTCCCGTGGGGACAATTATCTAGACGTATTTAGATGCAGCTGTGAATAAAAATTTTGATCAAGAGGCAACAGAGCCTAGGTGTCCTCTGCCAATTTTTCACGAATTCTCTCACAGACTTGCGTTTGTGGAGGATCTTAAATAGTGCTCACACCCTGGAGCATGCGAATACCGCTTCGCCATGATAAGACTAAGTTCGAGACATCCAGGCTCCATATAGGGATTTATAGATTAAGCTAGCATAATGTTTGGCATAATTCGAGCAAATTGGCATAATTTCTGCCAAGTAGCAATGCTAGCATAATTTGCGCATATTGATCATTATCAGATCATTTTTGATGGCATTATTTGATAATTTTTTGTCTCTAGTCCCAAGCACTTGGTGACCTTAATCGATATTTAAAGTTTTAGTGAAACTAGTAGCATTTGTAGTTCACTGTGAAGCACTGAGCCCGGGTCTAACCTGAACCACATGTTTATTTGAAATTCATTGTGGATTTGTTGCTTTTCTCTCCTGTAGACGAACGGCTTCTAGTTAAAAAATATATATTTTGGACTCAGTTGCATTTTTTCTAAGAGCATAATTTAAAAAAACGGTGGCATAATTTGGAAAAAAAGAGCATAATGTTAGCATAATTTGGCCAAAAAAAAACCAATGCTACTAGCATAATATGCCACTTTTACTAGCATAATCTATAAATGCCTAGCTCCATATAGGGAGGGGTTGGGCGTCTCAAATTCCCATCGTGACTTTCATCCCATAAATATGCAACCTCGTTCCCAACTCCACCCCCAACTAAGGGAAAAGTCCCTGGGAACGAGGTTGATGGATATGGAGTTTAGGAACTAATTGGAAGAGAGAGAAGCGCAAGTTTTCTTGACCAATCCTAGAGCGATGTTCAGCAAAATCAATTTCATCTCAAATTACTTTCGATACTAAAGAGAGACCATGACAAACATCAACGAAGGACTAACAGCGACATTAAAAGCTCCTTTAATGAGCAACGCAATACGTGTGGAAGTTTAAGAAAGACGGCCAACCATTGTCGATCAGCTTAGAAAGGTAACTCCTACACTGTCTGCAGGTGGGTGAAGTTTACAGCGATAAATGACGCCATCAATTAACTAATAATCATTATTAACGGATCAAAAAACCCAATCCAAAACCATCAAGTGATAATGTTTCACCTTGAAACCCTTTTTTGAACTTGCACGAGACAACTGCAATTATTCTTTTCCTAAAACAGTCTCCAAGGTCGTTTTCATGTGAATTATTCAAAGCCCTTCATGCAATGACTAACTTGCTTGTGTGTAACAAAAGAACCAACTCGTTAAACCTTTGTTTCTTGGTAATATCTAACTTAGTCACTTCTGTGTACAGAAGTTTGTCTTCGGAAGCCAATCCCACGTGCAAACCTCGTGGCAACAACAAAATATCAAAGTGAAGTGAACATGCGATCTTCTTGACCCTTCTATTCTTTTTTTTTAATCTGTATACAAACCTACTGGAATTAAATTACCCTCAATGACGTTACTAAGGTCCATATGGCGCTTATGAATATAATTAAATTTAGTCATAATTTCACACTTTTAATCCTCTGCGTAGTAGAAGAATTGGGTTGAGAATGAAAGAGGGAACCCTAAGGAGAGATTTGTAATCACCTTGGTAGAGAAGAGAATCAGAAGAATTTCCTTTCGATACAAATAAATAAAGCGAGACAAAATCTTTCACAGAAAGTCATGTTATTTTGGTTACAGAGCCGAAAAAATTTTCAATTGAAATCGTGTGAAATTATGACTGCTAAGATCGATGCATGAATTGCAATGAGCCACTTAAAGCAACTGAAAGCGAATAAACAATTTGCTGAGAACAGAAGCTCATCGGCGTGAAAGCAACTAAATGATGCTTGAATCGTGGATGAGTTATTAGTGACAAATAATAAAATCTATACTCTATACATATGAATTATCTCAATATTCAAAGACTTTCGAACAAGCTTCTTCAGTGATAAACGCTTCGCTCCTTCGGAACTACACATTAGTGTGTTCGTTGAACACGGCTGGGACTCCATCGCGATCGCGGTCCTGTAAAGAAAGAACCAAATCAGTTAGTCATCAATGTTGAAATTCCTCTCTCAATATCAAAACGATACAAGTCAAACAGAATATAGATCAGTGATCGCTGTAATACCACACTCTGATAAGCGATATTTAAGGAAATTTCTGAGGGCAAACACGAGTGCGAGCTTAACTACTAACCTGCATCCTTGAGCCGGCAGAGGCCTGGGAAGCTCGGGACAAGGATCCACGGCTTGATTTAGCGGTGGGAGCCCGGGAACCAGTGGGGCTGGTCTCGCCGCGATTCATGGATGCCTCGCTGTCCCAGCGTTCTAACTCCTCTCGTACCAGTCTTTCCATCTGATCTCGTTTTAGGTCGCGGTCGCTGCGCTCACTACGATCGCTCTGTGGGAAATAAACGGAGTGAGGTTCGTCAGAAGGAAAATAATAAAAAAAACTAACTATCCTCGACTAAAAATACACTAAAATATGTAACTTTGGTAAGGTATAAAACAGAAAACAACTTCCTTTGAGAGAGAACTAGATGTCTACTTACATCTGCGATCGAATCAAGCAGTTTAGCCATGGTTTCCCGTCGTTTGAGCTTGGCTTTCTCCATGGCCTCCAGTTTGACAAGGACTGCGTCAATCTTGGACACGATGCTGCCAATGGAATGTTCCATTCGGTCCACTCGGCGGCTAAGACTGAAACACAAACGAAAGCAAGTTTTTACTGGCAAACTATTCGGAACGTTATAGGTTTGAAAAGTTTGACATTTGGGCCGAAGTATTCTTTGCCTATCGTGCTAGCCTTCAAATTCGGGATTGAAAAGATTTCAAACGGCTCAACACAGACGACTCTCCAACGACGCAAGTCATTACACACAAAAAAGATCCACGAAGCCAGATTTTTCATGTCGCATTTCGTTTTGGCCTTTCTCACCAACTATCGTTAAGAGTTTGGATGGGATGATTCCCCGGATAGCTCATAATTCCTCCATATCGAAAACGTTTTCCCTGACACTCATGGCTTCCCGTGTTAGCAGTAACAAACTTACACATTGAATTCCTCGTAAGACACTCCGCCTCCTCCAGCACTGGGTCGAGCCATAGCTGAACCTGCGCGCGCACTCAATCCGCCTGTAGATTCCCCATCGTCGTCGCTGTCATCGCTACTCGCATTGCTGTTTGCACTCTTAGGTCTTCCGCTCTTCGTTTCCTTGGCGCGCTCCATTTCCTCGATTTCTTCGTTCAGTTCAGCCTGCCAGTGAGTATAAAAAAGTACAGAGAACCGTTAACCCTTTTTGAAGAGGTTGAATAGACAACATTTCGTTCGAGTCTCGACATTGGAAAATCTGAGCAGAAAATTTTTTCTCACGAGCTTACAAAAATAAAACTAAAAAGCGCGGGAAAACGCGTGTGAGTAGGTAGCCATTGAGTTCTAGTCTTGCATCTGATTGGTGGAAACTCAAACTTTTACAAAATCTTGCTTCAAAGCGCATTGATCCTTCATAATTGAGTGTCTGACCTTCTGTCCTTCCAGATCTTCTTGCATCTTCCTCTGTTCTTCCTCATCCAAGATTCTGTCGCCGTCCAAGTCGTACTTCGCGAAGACCGCTTCGATTTCTGCATCAGCATGGCCACGGCTAGGAATAGACGAAACCACAAAAATCTATCAAACATTTCTGCTGTTAAGTTGTGAGACTAAGGATGTTATGGATTCATTTCAGCCTTTGTAAAGACTTTCTCTCCGTTATTTGATTCATATTGCTTGTCGTGTACGCATTGGTGGGACCACATTTCAAGGGTTGCGTGGTGGTATTTTGACTTCAAGTAAAAAACACTTCGCAATTTATACTGACCTCGAGACAATTTTCGAGTAGCTTTCGAATTTCAAATTACTAATTACGAATTAAGACTTTACTGTCTAAACAAACACGTAATTGACATAATAAGAGAATAGGACATGAGGCTGGAAAATTCAAAACCCTTTTCTCCTAGTTGCCCCGTTTGATTAAGAAGGAATTCTAGAGAGGCGTGTTTTCTAGAACCGTTTCCGAAGGGAAATAAATAGTCCATCAAAAATTGAAGACAGTTGGCAAAAATATTAACTGTTTCGTGATTGGTATACCAATGAAAATTTCATGGAATAATTGACAACTTCCAACATTTTCACAACTCTGAAGGCTATCGAAATGTTGTAGAAAGAATCAAAGTAATTTTACACGTAGTACAAGGCTTTATAAGTTGTTTATTACAACTGTAACAGAACCCCACTAGCTAGGACACGTCAAAATAATTTTAGAACCGATGTAGAACTACCACTGAGGCTTACATAAATAACTATCCGCAAAAAAAAAAAAAAAATTTTTACAAGGAAAGTGAAGATTGTGTAATCAATGTCCACTGTAGAAAAAACAAATTTTCAAACCGTTTAACATCGGTTGTACTTACGATTTCAAATTTGCTCTCCATTCTTCGAAATCCAGCTTGTTATCTTGGTTGACATCGGCAGACTTCAGTGCTTTCTGGATGTCGAGGATCTTCTCGCGTTTGAAGGACAATTTGTCCAACATCTTCTGGTATCCCTGTGGTAAAAAAAAAAATTCAGAAAGTTAACACTACCGCTTGCATTTATTTCCCCAACACTCGGAATATCTGCCTACCGTGACTCGCGAAAAAACTGAACTGCTATCGAAAATTCTGGTCCGTCGAATGGGTCATGATGCATAATTTCATACGAAAACAGGCCACCAGGCAGTTCAATAGTTCTTAATGGGGCAACCATGGGGTGACAGGGAGGCGCAAGTTAAGCGTCCAATAATAAACAAGAGCCATTTTATCGTTTACTTTAAAAAGCCAATAAATGATGACTTGCTCCACGGTTACTTGGGAACGCTGCACGCTTGACTGCTCTGTCAAAAGTACGACATGCATAAAAAATGGCATTACCAAGAGAAAGTCATAATTCTAAACACCTGTGCTTCTTTACTGCCATTAATTTTTTACCATTTTCAG